AAAAAAATTTGGTGTACCCGTACACCTATATGGCCTGCCACAGATCCGCTGTCTCCGTGATTATGTCTCCTTTCCATGTCTCCTATTTATCCACTTGACACGTGTTTTACAGTTTAAGTATTTATTTTGTTTTATTAAAAGTAACAAATAACAAATTTAGAACACTAGGAGAACACAACGCAGGCGCATACCCAAAGCCCCGTCACCGGCGGGTACTACCCTCCTCCTTGTCGCCTCAAGATACCTTTTCTCTTTCACTTTCTCTGCCTGTCTCCTCGCTCACCGCCGACATCTACCACCTGCAAGTACTAGATCCTAATATTCAAGTCAGATTCAATCGGAGATGTAGACATTTTCTAAAATCTTGGTATAGATTTATTAGTAAATATTTATTTAAATGATTGTTTTTTATGTTGCCCACCGGTAAAATAACCAGAATTTAAACCTCATATAGAATTATCACCATCATTTTATGTTTATCCTAATTATAACCAAAAGTCAATATAAAAATACCAATTACCCTTAATGACTAAAAATTTCTCATTCCCTCCGATTTTAGCAACCAAACACCAAAAACAACAACAAAACATTATCCAATAAAGCTTTAACTTACTTGAAAGTTTTGAGACTGAAGAGTTGGGAAACTTGAAACTGAAATTGTGGCTATAATTCTATATGAGACTTAAAAGTGTGGCTATAATTCTATATGGGATCCAAATTTAATTTGGTTACTTTTCCAAATTTATCGATCTCCATTGGTATGTTAGTTTGAATAGGAAGGAGGGCGGACTGAGGATGCTCGGCGGCAGGCAGCGAGGTGCTCTGGCTGTTGGGGAAGGCAGCGTGTTGGTAGGGAGTGCTACGTCCGTGTTGGTAGGGCGTGTTGTGTCGTCTTCTCTCATCCCATGGTATAAATTTTTTATTTTTAAAAACACAGAATAATAATAATAATACTTAACAATGTTAGTTCTTTGTTAAATTGTAACACACATGTAAAGTAGATGGATAAGAGACATAAAAGGAAGCACAAACTTGGGGACAACAGACCTGCAACCACCTTAACCCGCCAAACGTAGAAGGACGACGAATTGGATTTCAGAATTTCACAGTGATTTTTGCTTTACAACAGCATGTCGTTCCATGGCAAGAAGTTCGGGCCAAACTTGAATCAAACCAGCAAGTATGAATTTACATTTTCAACATACTCTTTTTACGTTTCGTACACCTATTAATTTACTTATTGTTCAATCTAACAATTACGAGACTAAAGAGGTGTGTATGAGGTAAAGGAGACATTTTTTCAAGTATTGGTATGCAAACGGTACTTCAAATGTTATAATACAAGTAGAGGAAATTATATATATTTTTGTGTCATCCACTTATTTTATAACATGTGAAATACCTGCTTGAATACTGAGCACTTGAAAAAATTTCAAATTTTTTACATTCCAATACCAAATAATTTAAGAGTAAAAACTTAAAATTTTAACTCATTTGTTCAATTTTTTTTATCGTACACTCATCTAAAATTTGTCTTAAAGTTTTCAATTTGTTTTGGTATGGGCTTTCTCATTTTAGGTTAAGTATAGGTGTGGAAATTCAAAAGTCAACTTCAGCTAACATTTTTGAATTAGGCGTTAATTGCTACAAATTGTATCATACTCTTGATGATGAGGAAAAAGGCATGATATCTATAGGCACTTAAGTCTTAGGAGCCTAAAAGACAACTTAAACGAACACTTTCAGACGTGTCATGTTGGAATAAATTTGTGCACTACCGCGTGTGAAGGAGATACACAAACTCGTTTAATCTGCAAGATAGTAACCACCCATAAGCAGACATGGACCGGCATGGGAGTGTCGGTCAAAGGCTTTCTGATGGTCAAGTTAGTAAGCAAATATATGAGGCTTAAGCAGTAGACTAGAGAATAAGTGTGCAATAGTTCTGTTCCCAAAGATGAACCTTAGATGGGTGTATTTATACCAGTTGAGATAGAGTCCTTTTAGGATATGGAATTTGTATTAAACCAAGAGAATTCTAGAGGACATCCAAGAGTAGATATTGTTGGAAATGTGCCCTAAAACCAATCATATGATGATACTTTACGGACATTTCAAACTAATGTAGTTTAAATGTAAAGGGCAAAGATTATTGTTTGAGCCGTCTTATATAAATGTTATATGCTTAAACGATAAGTCCAAGGAATATGTGATTGGAAGAATGCGATCTAAAGAAGTTAGATTCATGAGACCATTCTTTCGTTGACACATCTTAAACGTTCCTGATCATAGGATTGTCAATTGGGCATTGACAGTCCGTTAAGATCAGTACGTGCTATGTCTTCTCTCAGGGAGAGTGACTAGTCTTGAGTCATTGGTGTGTGTGACATCAAGACAAGTACGTAGGTGCTCAATAGAGAATGAGTTCACTGAACACGATCAACGAAGAGTTCTTATATTCATGTCACATGAGAACTCATGGTTGGGATAATGCAAATTAGTCTTTTGACCTGACGCATCACAGTTGTCTTGTGGTTAGATCCTTAATCTTTGATTATGTCAAAGTCACTCCATCAGGAGGGTGTCCATGGCATCGTTGGGGTTAAGCCACTTAGCCATGGAGGCAAGTGAATGCGCAACAAGGGATCTCTAACCTTCAAACTGTTTGAGGGAGAATACTCTATGATATGATTAAGAATCTTTGGCCAAAGTATGAATGAGATTTAGGAATGTGTTCCAAATCACATTCAAGGTAATCATATAAGCACAAGACTCACATTGGATAGTAGACATGAATAAACTATCAAACCAAACAATGTGGTCAAGAGTATTGTATTAGAGAAAGACCGTATTGCATTTGTAATCCTAAAACTGAATAGGTTCTCTGATAGGAGCATATTCATGCGACTTAAATGGCTTGTTCTCGTGCATTTACGTTATGTTTCTCTAGTTATTTTAGTCCTTTATGCTTCTTTTGTGTGTTTTCAGGTTCTAAGGGCTTAAGGAAGAAAAAAGATGCATTTTGGAGCATTTTGGAGCAAAATTGGGCTTGGAATGGATGGCATATGATTGGAGCCAAAATGTTGGACGAATTTGAAGGCCTTGTATTCACTTTGGACATAAAACAAAGGGCCTAGCCCATTCTCTCTTAAACCAAGCCCTTTGCCATGCATTTCCTTCCAATTCCAAAGCCCACAATCAATTCAAATGCCATGCAAATCCATATTCAACACCCTAAACTACAAGCATGCATCATCTCACCAAGCAATCAAACAAGCCACATGCATGTCCCTTTAATCATTCAACCACATTCCCACTTTCCTAGCTAACCCTACATGCATTCTTTATTCACTCTTCATCATTGCACCACAAATCATTCACCCACATGCACTCATATTCCCATTTCCTTTCCAACATCTCACATGCATTTCCACCTTCCTACTTCATCATTTCACCACATTCTCCCTCTTTAACTCACATGCACCCAAACAAAGCCAACCTAGCTAACCCTACATGCATTATTTATTCACTTTTCATCATTGCACCACCAATTCACCCACATGCATTTCCAACCATTCACACCCCTTTAATCATTCTCCTAGCTATCATTCACATGCTCTCCCATCCATTCTCTCCCTATATGTTCCCTCCACTACTCCTATAAATACCCTTGCATTCTCATCATTCAAGGCATTCTTCATCTCATTCACAACATAACAACACACCACAAACACATTCCTTTCTCCCTTAGAATCCAAAAACCATCTTCCATTTCCACCAATCCTCATCCATTTCCATAATTCCCCAACACTTCCATCCCCCCAACCAACTTATCCTTAAACCTTGTGCTACAACAACGAGGAAGAGAAGAGTGCCTAAATGTTCATACAATTCAAAGTTTTGAGTTGTTGGAATGTTTAGGTGTTTCTTTGATTTCAAAGTTATGAGGAACTAAACCCCCTTTAGCTAGGGGGTAATTCGAAACTATGTTTATGTTTGTAATATGATTTGATTACTTTTAATTACGTTTCATAAGTTGTGAATTCAATTTGTTTAACTGTTTGATTGATAACCTATTTATGTATGTTTATTAAGAATGAACGCTTAATTTTCATGCATGAATTTGACGCTAGAATATAAGTGAGTTTCACGTAATAGTTATGAACTTATATTCACAAGTAGTGGAGGTTGCTTATAAACAATCGTGTTAAACATATTCTTGGCATAAGTTTCATGCAATCATAGTAACGAATGCCTCGTCAACACTTATAGTTTTCATGATGCTTAATGATTCTTGCTTGTATCTCTATTATGCAATTCATGTAGGGAACTTGTGAGGAATGCTTTGGATTGTCGTATGCAATCATCCAATTCATTAACTTAAGGAAAACTTGACGGTTAATTTAAGCGGACCTAATTAACCCGGGGCGTTGAGAATTCATGGTTTATTGAAAAGCAATTAGAAATCTTTTTATTATGCAAGTGTAACATGTGTGGAGATGAACCCCTTGGCTAGCATCCATTCATTCCATTTCATCAATTTCATATTTACATTATGTTTTAATTGCAATTTGTTCATTTAGTTTAATTCCGTCCAAAACTCAATCCCCCTTTACTTTATTGTTCAATTTAGTTAGAAATCATTTTAGTTTGTGTTTTTAAAGCATTTTGAGTCTTTTGGTTTGTCTTAGTGTTTTAACGTTTACTTTCACATTCTTTGAGTCTAGTTTAGTGTTTTATATTGTTTTTACGTTTTTGAAGTCAAATCCAAGTGGTTAACAATCCCTCCTAATCCCCGGTCCAGAACGATCCCTACTTACGTACTTACTACAATTGATAAAAAGAGGGTTTAATTTGTGCGCGCATAAAACTCGCATCAAATTTTGGCGCTGTTGCCGGGGATTAGCAACTTTGCTAATCCCTTGGATTGTTTTATTTTCGTTTGTGTGTATATATGAGGATTCATATGCACCACCACAGCCTTCCCCTCAATCTTCACATCCAAATTCAGGTATATCAAATTATTATAATGAAGTTATTCAACAACTGAATTCTGTGGAGCAGGGCAGGGAAGCTCAACCATTTCAACAAGACGCATTTTGGCGACCAATTGAGGATTTCTATCAAGCAAAAAAGTTGGCTGAGTGGAACAGTCAATTTAGGCAGAATGCAGAATGCATGGAACAAATTCAAGAACAAATGGTTGAAGATGAGCCCATGGATGAATTGCTACTGCTCGAAGAGGAGGAGGATGCACAAGGCACGGCAAGGGAAGAACAACCCTTGCCGCAACCTCCCAATATTCCTACACCACCCCATTCAAGTAAGGTTGTTCCAAATTTAATTATTTCTAACTTTGTTCCCCCAAATGCACCCTTCCCTGGCAGGTTCATGCAATCCATGAAAGATGAGGGGAAGAAAGACATCTTGGACACCTTTCCAACAATTCACGAGGAAAAAGTGGTTGAGGAGCATCTTGAATTCATCAAGGAGGAAATTGGAGTGGATCACACAGCCACAACCTTCAAAATGTCCAATCTGAATGAAAACATCCCTTGTGCATTTGTTGAATGTGCTGCGACTTTAGAGCCAATATTGCAGCCCATAGGTAAGCCACCAACTCAAAATCCAAAGTCGTTTTTGACTAATATGTTGTTGATGTCAATGATTAGGGCACCCACTCTTGAAATTCAACCATTGCCGGAACATTTCAAGTATCATCATCCATTCAATGATCAACTCCATGACGTGGGTTCCATTAAGGCATGATTGTGTTCTTTGTCCGGCTACAAGACGTAAAAGCAAGCGCTACTTGGGAGGCAACCCAATACAGTAAATAAAACTTTTGCTTGTTCATTGATTTTTTTTGATAAATTACAATTGTATCTAAACATGGCAGAAAGATGGAGCCTTTACAAAGGTTGTGTACGTGAGGCCCCACTACGTGGGAACACTCTCGGAGCAAGAGGTCTCGGAGCAGGAGGCATAGGAGCAGGAGGCATCGGAGCAGGAGGCATAGGAGCAGGAGGCACCGAGGATAGATCATTCAAGGCCCCAAACCTTGGTGGAACGCTGGATGACCCAGGAAAGAGGTGTCTCTGGAAGAAAGCTGCAAACCGTTGACGGTCATCAAGCTCATCAAGCTTCCTCTTCATGCCTGATGAATAATTATTTGCAAGCACGTGCAAAGTTCTATTCTCGTGCTTAAGTTGTTTTATCTCTTGCTTCAGGTTCTCCACCTCCGCCATCAATGATTCAACCTGACGGGAGCGAGCAAGGAGGCGTTGGCCCATGTTTGACACAGAACCAGCGCACTGAACGCTGAGAGCCAGAGACTCTTGAACGGCCAACTCATCGGACCGTCCTGAAAGCAGCTGACTGTCTTTGAGAGTGAGGAGGTTCCGAGCCACTATCGTAGCTGTTGTGGGATCCATCATCACAGAGTCCTCATCTGTAAGAGGGCCATGGGAAGATAAGAAAGACGGGCACCATACCTTACCCTGATGAGACGCGACCGGATCACTGCTTAGACTCAAATCTAAGCAAAGGTTTGATGGGTTGGATGAGCTAGCCATTGTTCACGAAGTTAAAAGAGAAGGGGTGGACGGAGTAGATTTTCAAACGGGCCGGAGACGATTTCTGGGCAATTTTCAAGTGTGCATGCTAGAGGTGATCAATCACCTCTATTAAAGGAGAGGCGTTCACCAATTCAGAATGAAGAGACACCACTCTTCAGAACCGGAATTTCCGGCGTAAAGATCACCAGCTCGTCAGACGCAATCCCAGCTTTTTAGAAGACGCGTGGAAGGCGAGAAATCAGTTGCACACTTTAGCCGACAAGTGTGGGAGACAAAGCCGAAAGCTCTCGGCTTTCCAGAAAGCGTGT